AATGTAAATTTTTAGGACCCAGCTCGCCCGATTCGTGGATTATCAGTGGTCCCCACAGATATAACTGTGATCTGCGCATCACTTATGCGCAGACAAACAACTTTTTAATAATTTTTATTTTAATTTAACTAAATTTGTCGAAGGTTTCAACCCGTAAGCTGCATTGGTGTTTTAAGATACATATTCAGTGTACAGAGACAGTTGAAAGGGCCCTCAGATACTTTTGTGTCTATAGCAAATTAACCTTTCCCTCTTAGATCTTGGTTACATAAATGTCTGTCTGGAATTCGCATAGTGCAGTTATAGGAATGGAATTCAGCCTCAGCCCTCATAGCGAAGACATTCAACACTGCCAGAACTCTCATATAACTCTTCAGTGGGGATATTTCATATTTAATTGTTTATGGGCAAAGAATGTCTGCAATGGTGTCTAAACACCAAGCTGAACCTGAATGACCCTGAGTTGGGGTGTCTGAGCATCACATCAAACTGAGCTCTGTTTCATTGCGCAGTGTTTATGGATAGTGAGACAGAATGCACCGAATAGCTTATGGGTATGAACCAGAAAATGATTGGACATTGCCAATAATTCTCCCGAGACATTGCAAAACATGTCCATAAGACTAAATTATTTGCTAAGATAGATTCTATGAATCATATTTCTGTAAATTAACATTTCCCCTGTGAGTTTTCACTGCCTCGTTTTCAGCATCTACTATTTGTAATAAAGCAGATGAAAGAAAGGTCACATCATTAGTGTGCAGATAACACTAAATGTAAACCATCTGACATATGACATGTGTCAATAAAGTCAGGATCATTACTTGATTAAATGGCCTGATTCTGTGTGTATTTTGTTGTGTATCTGCAAAGTTGCGATCGCAGCAGCTTCAGGCTTTTTGTTTATTAGCACTAACTTTGGAAGTTCATGTTCAGAAATTACCTGTATTTTCCGGTTGCTACTATAGTTTGTTTTTTTTCTTTACTAAAGTGATTGTGTAAAACAGGCCTGTTTTGCACGAGAAACAGACATGTCAACATTTTCAGTAATATATGAGAGTAATACTTGTCATTTAAACAATCAAAAAATACCAATTGGACCTCCACCAAAATTCAACTTTTTTATGTCTACATGCTCAGTACGCGTACTTACTGTTGCCTGTCTTTCTCAGAGCAATATGAGTGGCTCCATTCATTACATGCCCAAGACTTATTACGATAACCTCATTATGGCTTGTTTCCTTGGAAACTGTCCTTGCTTTCTCCCAATATGCCCATGCCTCTCTTAACATTTAGTATTTCAAGGCAAGTACTTAAAGTGTAATACAAAGGCTTTGGGGTGGGCTATTATTCTCTTTCCTTACTTGTAACTGTTTTGCATCATTAGTAGAAAACAATCTCTTCTCTTCCTTTTTCTTTGTGCACTATGTGCACTATGTGCAGGTGTGTGCCTGTTCGCACAGTATACTGTATATGTGATGTATACTGACCGAGTTGTTTGTGAATTCAGGGGCTGGATCCTTTAGAGGACATGGTCCATGAGCATTGGTCCTTCAGAAGTTTTCAAGGCCAGGCTAAACCTTCACCTTCTCCAGGAAAGGCCAACCAGTATTACAGAAAACAAAACTAATGGTGCATCAAGGTGGGCCCTGTCAACTTTCAAAGTTTATGATGTGGACATTGCCCTTAAACTGTAAAGTATAAAGTGTAAATATTTCTGGGAAACACTACATAACTTGCCGTCTTGTGACGGGAGTCTTGAAGTTGTTGTGGCGTTCACACTACATGACTGATCGGTGATAGGGGGTCACACACTACAGGAGCTGGTCTCCAAACCACATTTTGTCAAGAAAACACACGCGAAATCTACAACAGGAAATGAGCGATCCTGCACACGAAACAGCGGTTTATTATAAAGATAGCAATTATAAAGACAAAGAATATGGGTGAAAGGATGGATTAGCACACGCAGGTAGCAGGGATTGTCTGAGCAACAGAGAGAGCTGTAGGTGAGTAAAAAGGTGCAGCTCCCCTACACCCAGTTAACTCATGACTGTGAGGTTACAAGTCATGACCCAAAAAGGAGAACAAACGCACGTGTGTACATTTACAGCTGAGGATTGCGGCTTACTTTGGCTAGCCTTCAACTCTACAATCAATCATGATTTCAGTTAAATGCTAAAGTTGCTGTTACAGTTACCTTGTGTGTGGTCCGCTGGCAGAATACCGGGTGCTTTCTGATCAGGTGCCATCGTGCTGTTGCCGAGGCGACATAAGTTTCGTTTTACGGTGGACGGACTGTAACATTACAGAATTGTTGTTTTCTTTAGCTTGAAATTATCCCATACTTTGGACACTTTCTTCTTTGTCCCTCGCTATCTTCTCTCTCTTCCTCCACTTTACAAACAGCGTCATTATAATCACGTTGTGTCACAGCGTAAGCATGATGTGTGACAGTAAGAAATGTCCGGGGGAAACCATGTGCTGTACTTTAGTTACATGGATTAAACAAAGCATCGATGCAAAGAATTTGTGTCGATACATTTTATTAATTGATTTAATAAATTAATTGTTTCAGCCCAATTAATTTCATGTAGTTATCCTCCAGCGCTCTGTTTTGGCTTTGTCGGTTACGTTAGTGAGACAATCAGCTGATCACTAATAGGCAATAAAACTAGCTTTCAGCATCTAAGCTCAGATCAGCCAGCTAAACTTTTACTGCCCTGGTAGAATAAATATGTTATTGGATTGTAATTTAATGTAGTTCTTCTCCAGCGCTCTGTTATGGCTTTGCTATGTGGACAGAAATGTGCTCTACCTTCCTGAGACAAACTGCTGATGAATATAATTGGCAATAAAACGGTCACAGCAGGGAAGCTCAGATTTTACTGCCCTGGTGGAAAACATGTATTTATTTTACTGCTAATAGTGACACATAACATGACCGTGTGCCTGTCAAGTGACCAAAGATGAATACTTTACGAATTTGCATTAAAAAAATGCAAATTTATAGTGCTTTGCCGCTGTGCACACAAATGTGTAATTTGTACTTTCACATGCTAAATTCCCATTAAATACGTTGCACCGTTTTACCACAAGCTGAAATTATGGCTGTCAATACTACTTTGTGTTTCTGTTGTATTTTAAAAAAATAAAAAAGACATTTTGCTAAGAGTTGGAGATTGCTTATGCAGTTAATTAAGCAAAGCGAGAGGAGCCTTGATCCTCACCTGGTTCAAATGCCTTTGTAAACGTCATGTATTATGTAGTTTATAATGGACTGTGGTTCAGAAACAGTGAGGCTTACATTTCCATGTTATGTCAGTGGCCATACTTGATGCACAAGATGTGACAGTGTTTCAGAGATGTGAGATGTCATTTTCTTTGGTATGTTAGTCCAGATGAGCCACCCCTCCCAAGTTGTAAAATACTGTATTACAGGAGTATGAAACATCATGTAGCACTTCATTTCTTGATGTGGCTGTTGTTTATTAATGAACAAATAATAATATTCATAAAAACATATTTTACTGAATAATTAAGTAAATATAATTTCTTAATATATCTATCTAAAGAAACCTCATTTCTTGACTGACAACTCTGCTATCTCACAGAGGACATCTTTTGTCTTGTCTCAGGCACCGCAGCTATACAACTCGCTTGGATAGGGGAGGGGGGGTGCCATTCGCAACTCTCACCACTAGATGCCACTAAAACTTATGCATTGAACCTTTAATGACATAATATATAATTGTGCTCAGTGGATGGTTTGGTGTGTATGACAATTATGTGAATTAAATGCTACGGCCTGTGCAATCACCAGTGGCCTCATGAACGGTGCATGCGTGCATAAGGTTGCGTACGCTGGTTATCATGCACACACAGGATGTATAAAAATGAATTAACTATTAGCTATGTAGATAGTGTTTTAGTAGCTTAGTTAATAGTTGTTGTGATTGCTAAACCCTAATCTCCTCTTTTATCACTGCATTTTTTAATATTTTACTTTAAACCTTAGAGGTTAATTTAAACTGAGATTCCTCAAAGGTCAAATAAAGCACACATACATTTCTATATCTGAAATTTGACCTTTCACCAAACTAATTTCTTAGTAGGTGAGTCCACTGTTGTCATGGCATCCCTTTCCTAATGTCCTCCTAATGTGTAAATTTGGTAAGATTCCACTGCACCTACTTGGAGAAATCCCAATTCAAAATCCTCTCCCAACAGCGCCAAAGAGTTGGTTTTACTTCTAATAAAAATGTTCACAGGAAGGTCTGTACCGTAACTTGAATAACCAAGATATTGTTGCTACTAAAAAACCATGGTGAGTTTTTCAGTTTTGCGGTGCTTGTGATTTCTGTGGATTGTCCCTCACCTGAGTACGTTTTGGTATGATATTTGATATCGGAATAAACAAAGCAGAGAATTTCAGGATAAAAATGTTTGGTAATGGCTCTGCTTTACTTCAGTAATGATGCGCTCATGGGCTATGAACAAAAGACGAAACCAAACTGATTCTCCCAAAAAGACTTGCTTGTATTTTTATATTTATGGCCTCCTTGTTTTTATGATCTTGACATATCAGGCTTCGCTTTCTTCTGATTCCTTGAAAGGGATTTTGCAACCTCGACATAACTCAAACTTTTCACGATCACAAGACAAAATATAACAGCAAACATAAACAGAACATGAATATTGTCGCACTATTGGTCTCCTCTGCCTTCTGTAGTCTTGAAACTGAATAACATTCTTTAAGTATTGAGGAGAAAACTGCTGCCAAGTAGCTTGATTGAAAGTAACTTTAGTCATCACAGAGATTTAGTGAAAACCAAGTCACTCTACCTAATGAACTTACAGTATTTGCATGACAATGAAAAACTTAATGCAGACTCTACAACAGTACAAGGTTTATTGATTTATACAGTGATGACTGTTATTTAGTATTACATGGATGCAATTAAGGAGACTTGGAGAGGGAGTTTAATCAATGTCCACAATAGCTGCCACTTGTCCACAGCCCTTTTTACTTAAGAGGTGGGGAAGTTAGAGCCAAGTCAAAGCAGCAATAAATCAAAAAGCACAATATTGTCTCTATTCATTTTCTGCCATGGTGTTACTTCAGATGATCAATGACCGCCCTGTTATGAATTGGCTGTTGTCGAAGTGATGCACAATGTTGTCAGCTTTAATATTCAGACCTTTAAGTTACGATGATAGGGAATGCAGTCATCATGTGGAAAAGCTTTATGGTGTTGATGGTGAAGCAGCCATCTCAGTGTTGTTGACCTTTAACATCACTTTATCATCATCACTGCAAATGCTGCTGAAGCCATAATCGCTGCAGGTGATGGCTTTAGTAGTACTGCTACTTTTAGAATTTTGATTTTACTCATAATTTCTAAACAACTGTTTGATTTATTCTTGTTACACTGAGTTTTGTCTTTACACTTTTCTTTAGGATCCCAATTAGTTATTACAGCAGTAACAACTATTGTTCCTGGGGTTGACACACAAAAAAGAAGACAAATTAAATTAAAAGACAAGACATTCAAACATCACATTGTCTTTAGTGTGACAATAAGGTTTAACCGGTAGTCTTGGAGGTGGCTGTTGAATTTTGTTTTGCTTTCAGTTTGAAAGTACACTGATACTTATTATCTTTTATTAAGACAACTAAGAGAATATGGTAGCTACTTCATGAGGCTGTTGTGCTGGCACCTCCTTTTTGGGCTAAATGCTTAAACATTTAAAAGCATGAATCATGCTATTGGATGAATTGCCATGATATTTAGTACACACCACAATGTCATGGCGATCCATCCAATAGTTGTTGAGATATAGATATTTCACTTAAAACCAAAAATGCCAACCTCATGTTAGTACTATAAGGTAATGCCTTAAGTCAGTAGGCTTCCCCCTCTTGGGAACATGAATGTCTGTACCAAATTTCACAGTAACATGTCTAATAGTTCCTGAGATATTTTTGAGTGGACCAAAGTGGTGGAGTGATCGACTGACAGATATTGCCATCCATAAAGCCATGCCACTAGCATGGCTAAAATCTGATAATTGTCTTGTTATATCATCTGTAACAGTCATAAGGTCTTTTCAGACTTGCATAAAAGTATTCTGTACAATGGCACATTTGACAGATTCTTTTAATACCACAGTACTGTATAAAATACGTCTATTTATGGACAGGAATGTAGGAGATTCCCCAATCACACCTATAATTGGTGGTGATGACATTTATGCAGTTCCACTCCTACAAGAATTTAAAAAAAAAAAAAAAATGCTGGCAGAAACACTGAAACATTAGAATTTATTTTTGAGATGAAACAATGAGTTGCAGACCATTTGGATTAACCCTGGTGTAAACCTGTATTCTGTAGTACTTTGCATAATATTTCAGTACATAACAGTGACAGGCCAGTGACTCTGCTTGTGTGCTTGAGTCCCTTAATATGCCCATTACACCCATGTAAACACTATGCCTTCCTGTGTGAGGGCTCAGTGCCCTAGTTCAAACATGTACTGGAAGTTGATTGGTCCAGGTTTTAAATTAAAAACTACATATTTACAGTGTGGAGGCATACTCTTCACTAAATTCCGCAGTTTGTAATGTGTGTTTTGGCCAGACAACTGGATCACCAGATCCACAGATCACAGAGCTCTAAAATGAAAAATAGACATGTGTAACTATATCAAGCAGGGACTAAAAACCTTTATCCAAGCCATTGCCATTTAGCATTTTGGCCTGTTCAGATCTTTCTTGTTCCTATTTAATGATTTGTCATTCTCATTCATGGCCATGAAGTTGGTGTTGTCATTGTTTGGTGACAGTGGTGAAACTGGTCCAGGCATTCAAGTGGAGAAAAGAGCCAGGGGGGATAATGAAAGCTTCCCAGTCTGGGAAGAGATGCATTGTAAAGGGCACCAGTGGGCTGTAAGTGTAAGTGGGCTTGATAGGTAGATCTAAAAGCTTTCTCCACTACAATTCCTTTGTTTTAGTGAAGTGCCTCACATCTACATACCTAAGAACTGTTGAATTAAATCATCCCCTTCTCATTTCCTGCCTGTATTCAAGACTCCAGGAAATTGCTCTGAAGAACTTGTGACCTGGAAAAAAAAATTGTAAAACTGATTTGCCAGAGTGGGTGTAGGAGTGAATCTCATCTATGCTATCTTTTGGGAAGAAAAGTGATTTCACTTTTTGTTGTGCTGGAACTCTGACATATTGTATAAAAATTAATCCTGTCCAGAACGTAAGGAAATTAGGTCAGAGGCAGACAAATATATCCAGTTATCATAACAAACCTGTTGGAAAATCCACTAAGACTAAGCCGTTGTCAAAGGTAACACCTCACATTCCTCATCTCATTTCTTGCAGGATTTCAAAAAACGTCTCTGGCACACCTACACCTATTAAATTGCCAGTCTCCAAATTCCCTTATCCAGTAGCTCTTATTAACAGCTTTTAATAGAAACTGGCCACCTTCACCCTGATGTCAAGTCAGCTTTATTTATACAGCCCAATATCACAAATTACATATGACTCAAGAGGCTTTACAATCTGTACAGCATACAACACCCTCTGTCCTTAGACCCTCGATTCAGATAAGAAACACTTGCCATAAACTCCTTTAACAGGTGGTAAAATGGAATAAACTTCAGGAAATACAACTGATGGCTCCTTAATACATGTCATGAGTACTCCGAGACAGGAGCATCTACAGCTCGTTTCAGACAGAGGCTGAAATGAAGGCCTGCATGAAGGGCCAGTATAAGATAGAAAATTCTTTTTGAACTTTGAATCATGCAAAGCTTGTCAGGAGTCACAGAACTACAACATAGGGCTGGAAATGCAGTATAATAGGTCTCCTTTAAAAGCTTTGTAGCTCAGTAGCTTTTTTTATTAGATGCATGTGCTTAATTAATACATTAAACACTCACTACTTTTGAAATATAGAGTACATTATTCCGTGACGGTAAAGCACTTACTATGAAGCTAGCTTGGAGCCTTTTCCCCCCCTAATGGAGACATTCCACTGCAATGGATTCAGAGGTGATGTATGTGTTGCCCCAGGACAAGGCCACTGGGACAACCGATCACAGGCCGCCAAGCTCTAATGAAAAAAGCAGACAATGATGAGTTTTGACCTTCTTCATCTTCAGCCTCTGACTTCTTTCTTTATCTCACTCCACCTCTACAGCTCACATTTATACCTTTCTTCTGTCTTTGTCTCCCACATACTGTTAACAAGCAAGGCCAATTTCATAAATCTCTGAAGAAAAGAGTTTTTCCAATTGCATCCTTGTTAACAAAAATAGCGCAGTAGCCACAAAACAATGATTTAGGTATTTTCATTGAACAATTAAGTTTGAGCAGCACGTTTGTGTAAAGTGGCATGTGATGCCCCTCACTGACTTGAAGGCTGTACTGGCCAACCTCAGTAGACAATTTATTGACAGTGGAACGTTGTCAGCTGATTGAATTCACCTGGACCCTTGGACTATACAAAATGTGTCACGGTCGCTGGGTGCGCAAAGCTCGAGTGTGAACCCAAATGCAAGACACCAGGAGCGGAGATAGATTCCAGGGTTTTTAATCCAAGTTTTTAAGGCAAGACAAACAGGCATGAACAAAAACTCACGGGTACAGGAAACTGGTACATCCAAAATCCAGAACAGGTAATGCAGCAACTTGCAGAACATACGACAACACTAGACAGAGCGAATGTACACTACAGTGACCAGACAGGGAATGAACAGAAACACCAAACATATATACACAGGGACTAACGAGCAGGGCGGGAGTAACACAGGTGACCGGGATCAGGGCTAACGAGGCAGGGAGACAGCAGGGGAAAGCAGAGGGGCTGGCAGGCTGGCAGGCAGACAGGCAGAGAGACAGCAGGGCAAAACAGAGAGACAGGTAGGCAGAGTGATAACTGGGGAACAGACATAACCTAGGTTACTGGACACTAAACACAGACATAAACTAAGACACAGAACTAAACCTAAGATACATGACAGACAGGTACAATGTGAGCTAAACAGAACCTGCGAATCAACAATAATCAACTGGCTGACAGGCAGAATGTGACAAAATGTGTTTCCTCCTGCCTCTCCCTCCCTACAGCTGACATCCACGGTGCATCGTCTTCTCTTGTGTTTGCACCTCCACAGCGCACATGCCACATATCCATAGATGGCTTGATTGCAGATTTCCTGTTTTAAAGACCATTAAACACCAGTGTGGTGCCAAAATAGTGCACACTCAAGATCATTGCTGACCATAAGCATACGTGCTGTCGGCTGAAGTACAAAACAGAGTACAGAATAACAGCTAACATAGCCTTGTTTTACACTAGCTGGTTGATACTACATAGAATCCCCTCTTAAATCCAGCTCATAAAATCTGCAATGAAGTTACAATATAATGGTTTCTATAAGGCTTTTGAATACATGTTTGGTAGGCCTTTCACAGGAGAAATTCACTGCTGTGAAGAAAGTTGTACAAGAGCTAGTAGTGGCTACTCACACTACTATCAGCTTACTGTATGGTGCATTATGGAGGTAGTGAATTAGTGAGATTAATGACCTGTATGGTTTGTGGTTTGGCAGTGGCTGGTGGTGTTGGTTATGGGTGGCGGTGGGGGTGTGGCAATGGATAAGACACCTGCCTTTTGTGAGAGACGCGGGTTTAATACCCCACTGTGACCCATTGTGTCCCTGAGCTAGGTAGTAGGCGTTGAGTTGTGATGGTGTGATATGTCCATGTGTTGGGGTTGTATTGATTTGCCATCATTACTGTACATGTAGTTGGGATCTTGTAGGGACAGTTTTGGTTATTAGAAAAATACTGAAGATATTTTAGAAATATTAATAAAGTCATTAATAATAACAATAATTGATAAAGATTAATATATACAGGGGCACCACGCTGAAATCAGGGACCAATTTGAAAACAGTCTATAAAGGGAGTTTGCCTATGTATAAATGCCAATATTCCAGTAATATTTTACAGTAATAGGGTGGACAGTGATGGGTGAGTCCAGCTGTTATTACAACACAATACACAAAGATTTGCATGCAATGGCTCAAGTACATTGGATTTATTTAACCTTAGCACAGATCAATGATCAGCAACTTAAGTTAATACACACGCTAGCATCTGCTATTCTAAACAAAGCATGCATCAATCAGCAAACGTGTATGTGTGTGTGTGTGAGACAATAGAGAGGGAAGGAGTGAGGAAAATGGTGGTAATGACCACTTTGGTGGCTAATCAGAAATGATCCAATATGGCGTGCAGGCCTGCGAGGCATAAGGAAGGGGTTAACACTCAAAATGGCAGAGACCTTCTTCCTGTCTTCAGAGAGATTTTGGTGCCTTTCCTCTTCTTACAGGCTTTTTTCTGAAATGCAGGCCACTTGGCTTCTGGCCTACATGTAGGCCTCTGTTTCCATAACGTGAGGTCCCCAACAATGTGAATACCAAGAATTACTGATATTCTCATTATGGGTATAGTAGCTGGCTTGGGACCACAGCGCTGCGGTTAGTCTCATACTGGTGAAATCTGGGCAGGGAAACAACCACTAATACTATAATGTATTTCACTCCAGATGGAGGTTCTGGGTTAATATTAACTGTAGCCATAGTGTCTGAGATAAAGAGTGTTCATGCTCCAAAGAAAAACATGTCTGTAGATAACTGCAATGGGCTCGATTGGTCCTGCCAAGTTCTTAAAAAGATATGTCTCTTGCAAATTGCAAACCATATTAATCAAGTATTCACACTGCACTCAGTTATGATACTGCTGAGGTAGATATTCTGACAGCCTTTGAATTTCACCTATGTAACTGGAATCTGGAGTGGAAATTCAAACAGTTCTGTTGGTATTGACCCAAGTACCGACTGTGATGCTGTTTAACCTGTGTGTCACAAAAAACCTTTTACTGAAAAAATACCATATGCACTGCAAGGGATTTGTCTACATGTTCTATATAATAAATCTAATTACTCCATTATTTTCTAGTACTTTGAACAAAAATGCAGAAAATGCATCATAGTACATTTTCATGTATTTTATCTTGTTGTTTTCAGCAAGGCTTGACAGTGCCAATTCCCTGCTGTTTCTTGCAGCTGTGGGCCAGTAAATATTGATTTCTTTGCAGCCTGCCTCATAAAAAACGCATATGACAGAGTGAGCATGCAGAATCCTAAAAACACATTTCTTTCTGTGTAGCAGAAGTACAAAATACAAATCTTGCTGCTGGTCAGTTGACAGAAAAAAAATTAGAACCAAAGAACCAATGAAAATATGCATAAACCTTCATGCATATGAAGACATGGAAGCAGAAGTTATCATGCAAATCCCAGACTCTACTAATCTGTGGTGATAATGCCTTTGTGAGGTTTGACTTATACACATATAATGTTTTATATAAACCTGATTTATGATCCATATTTCAGTAGAATCTAATGCATTTTAAATACACACTATGTTCTCATTACACATACAGTATATGCTAATGGGAATTAATAGCAGCTCTGTTATTAATCAGCTTGTGTTTGCATGTCTAAATCATAATTTAGACTTTGACTGAATGAGGAAACATAAATGGGTATTTTACTGGTAGGAATACACAATCCATGAATGAAAGGTTTGAGTGGTCCAGATGATAATGATGAAAAACAAACAATCTCATATGGTGTTTGATTTCAGTGTCATCTGTCAATCAATGTTGTGACTATTTTGGATTTTCTGTTGATGAAGTTTGGGTTTATGTGAGAGGCTTGTTTCTCCTACGTCTGCTTAGCCACGATGGCCGTCACAGCTCATCTAAAGCACTAAAGTTATTTGTGTTTGGGTGGAGCTGTTGGAGAGTGATGCAGTGGAAAGAGGAGAAGTGATGTAGGTGTATGCATGTACATGAGTGAGAGACACAGACTCTGCACTTGCACACTGCTTAAAACGGTAGTGAAACTGTTAAACTGAAAATCAAGCAAGGTCTCTGAAAATGCATGACATCACTGATGCAGCACAAACAAGTAATGGAGTCTACTCAGGGTTACTCAGTGCTAAGTGAAGACTATTGAAAACCTCCAATTCAGATGCTTTCATCACATGCTGCAAGTGTCGGCCTTGAAACCATTAAGTCTTAGGAGGAAAGGGAGGGCCGTTCTTAGCTATCAAAAGGAAAGCGCTGTGGAAAGAACAAGTATCAAGACACCTCCATGGTGACATGGACATACACAGACAGAACATTGAGAAATTATAGTTTTTGTTATTTATACCTCGCCCCACCCCCCACCCTATCTCCTTGTGTCAGACGTTTATTCAGCGCCAGTAACAGCCACTTTCCTCCACTGTGAGTAGGCTGCTTGCTAGTGGTCGACCAATAATTGTGCTTGATTGATGATTATCGTGGCTGATATTGAGCAATTTTCCAATAATCTGCATCAGTCATTTTAAAAACAGATAGCCGAATGAATGAACGATTGAATGAATTAATAAAAAAATGCGCTCCCTTGGCTCTGATGCAGCTGCCTCTCTCTGTCTGCTCGAGCCCACAGAGTGGTGAGTACAGTGTCCTGCCCACAGTACTAGCTGATTGGTTACAAGTCACGAATAAAAGCCTATCAACACTGACTATAGTGTGGAAGTAGCCAATAGAACGAGCAAGCCATCACGCTGCAGCTCCTCCCTTCCTGTCTCAGCCGAGCTCTGCATACACACACGGAGCTAAGTGAGTGGAGATTAGTGTAGATTACACCAGTTAACCATAACTACGGCCGTAACTGTAATGTATCACTCATAGTTAACAAGTCTGTCTCTTGGATGCATCCCTGATTCATTTAATTTACTATTTAAAATGATTGAACATGACAGTTAACTTTAGTACTGTTATTTTCAACAAAGTTCTGTGTTCTAAATTTTGACACCAAGATTAAAAATTTTACAGCAAATGTTCCAAATATCAGTCATCGGTGTAATTGGTTACTAATAATCGGGATTGGGATCAAATCAGTCGATCCCTTCTGCATAATACAATGCACTCAGTGACCCAGCACAGAGACCATGAAAATGATGTTGTGTGCCCTGACAGTGTGTAGGTGCAGTTGTATACAAGTGTGTAGGCCTGGATGTGTTCTTTGTGGAAACATATTCAGTAATGGTGTCAGTTTGTGGATGTTTTCGTCTGCACTTGATTGTGCTTCATGTGCAAGCAAAAGCGCGAGTGTGTGTGGTGTCTACTTTAACTCCTGTCACATCAGTGAGGAGGTGGCACTGTACTGTGCAATAAGAGCAATCAGCCTGCTGGCAGGACTGGCCATCTGGACACATGGTAAGGAGCCTAGCCCAGACATCAGTGGTTTTTCAGTCTCTTTCAGTGGTATCTGATCTCTGTTTCTTTCTGCTCTCTGTCAACAATGATGCATTGTATTTTAACCATTGCACTTTTTGTTGTCTGTTGTTGTCCATCTGTCTGTATATTTCTTTCTCTCTGAATCTATTTTCCCATCTCTCTCTCTTAATCTCCTCTCTTTTGTTCCCCTGCAGTTTGCTGTTTTGTGGTCCACAAAAGGTGCCATGAGCTTGTCACGTTCTGCTGCCCAGGGGCAGATAAGGGACCCGACACAGACGTAAGTAACCAAAGCCTTGCTGTTGCCTCTCACGTGTTTGTTGGTGAGGAGGTGCCTTTCCTGTCCTCATACTGAAGTACATAC